AAGGGGGCTGCTTGAATGCCGACCGTTGGTACTATTTTACAGAGTACTTTGTAATTATACATTTATGAGATTATTTGATCATCGTGTCCCTCCCCTAGAAGAGTGCCCAACACAGAATGGGAATTCAATTAACATTTGTTGAATGGACCAGCCAGCCATGTGATAAACGAATTAGAGCACTGGCTCCCTCCAAGCCTTCAGTTAACCAGCAGTTCACGGTCGAAGATACTCCCAGTGTCCTTGATGGGAAACAGTAACGGAACCTGGGTGTGTAGGGCCCCTCCCTTTGATCCTAGTCCTCCCTTCTCTCGGAGATAGGGACAGGGACGCCCGAGGGTCTAGAACGAGCACTGCTTCCCTCCTTTAACGCTGCTACCTGGCGGCGTCCGCCAGAAGTGATGAAGTGAGGAAAAGCTGCAACGCTGGAGGATCGGAGCAAGCCGAAGATAGGATCCGCCTCAGGCCGAGCCCTTCCTTAAGCTCCCACCCACGGCTCCGAAGCGAGTCCCCTCAGCCGCCAGAGGGCGGTGCTCACAGAGTCTTAGACTCTATGGTCCTTCTCGCCGACTCCCATGAGCAAGAGCGACCAGAAACCGCCTATATACTTCCGTTTCCGGCCTAGCCTCTTTCTTTCCGTGCCGATAGCGCTCTCGCAAACATGGTAGGACCCGGGGGAGCGGGCCCGGTAACATCCAGTTTAATCTTTTCGCCCACTTTGACCGAGGCCATCCCAGGCTGGCTCTAGGCCCATGTGTGGACTCGTTGTACCAAAGAAACCCATTGTTGCCGGGATCGACCCCGAAGGCACTGGGTTTTGGGGCCAGGAAATGAAGTGATGGGATCAAAGAGGTAGACTTAGCCGGGGGTGGAGGGAACGTGCACGCTCTCCACTTCTGGGCCCAGCGGAGGCCGCTGGACCTGAAGCACGTACGGCCGTACCACCTTCTGGTCGAGTGTTGTGTGCTAGCGAGGGGTCTGAGAGTCGAGCCCTCATGGGATGTCAGCTGGGTCGGTTAGGGCGTTGTGCAATTGGTATCTGATAACGCCGCTCGTTTTGAACTCTCTCTCCTAGGTGAACGTTCCTAAAACCCGCCGGACTTTCTGCAAGAAGTGTGGCAAGCACCAGCCCCACAAAGTGACACAGTACAAAAAGGGCAAAGATTCTCTTTATGCCCAGGGTAAGACGGTCTATACGTAATGCGGTTTTAATCATTCGGGAACTCATAATACATGAGCAGCCCCGTGCCCCCCCCCCCAACCTGGGTATTGTTATTTCTGCTGGAAAACCCAAGATAAAACGTGTAAGAAGACTTTTCCGTTTGGCGGGTGTGATTATACCTAACAAAGAACTTGGTTCTCCCAGGAAAGCGGCGTTATGACAGGAAGCAGAGTGGCTATGGTGGACAGACTAAGCCGATTTTCCGGAAAAAGGTTAGTCGTAATTACTATTTGACATGTTTCCCACTTACTGTGGTAAAGACCTTGCATTTTTCTCCAGCCCACACTTGCACAGTACAGGTGTGTTTTCGGTTTCAGTGAAGTGCTCTACCGTGACCTGTCTACGTCTAGTAGGCAGTGGAGCTGGGAGTGCAACCCGGATCTGACTCTAGTCTACAGTCCTGCACTCAGTGTTCCCCTTTTTTTGGTCCTTCCCTTTTTGAAGAGGCAGACATCAAGTAAAGGAATGTGCCCTGACTTCTTAAGGACTGAAGTTTGAGTACAGCAGTGAATCCTTTCCTTTGCCCTGTTCCCTGTCATACCCTAGTGAATCCTCAGCCCTTGGCTTGCAGTGAGAATTGCTCTCTTTCTTTGCTTCTCAGTTCAGAAGCCTGCGGTCTGCTACCTATCTCATGAAGTTTTAAAGCTCTTTTAACATCCTTATCTAGGCCTTCCGCTGCCCTCCTGAATTCTCTTGTCATTCAGTCATCCAGGCCAAATGAGTTCCTGTTCTGCCCTAGGTGATTGGCTACCCCTTAAAGTACACAGTGCCTGGAATAGCATTCCTATGAACACAGCATTTCTTGTTTGGCGCTTTGCTCATTCAGCCTTGTTCCAGAAAGTACTAACGAATAATGTCAGTGTTCGTTTAGGTGCCAGAAATGGTTTGATCTCAAGGTGGTAAAAGGAATGCCAGATCACCTTTTCACATTCAGCTAACTTGTTGAGAAGGTGGGAAGATTCTGCCTAGGCTTTGGCTTTTCTGAGAACTGTGAACGGGCAGAAGTAGAATTCTGATTATAGGAGTAGACTTAAAAAGTTCATTAGTGTATGCTGAATTAAATAAATACAGTTGAATGCACATAAATTGTAGACATAATTTTAGGTAGTCTCCAGAGAATTGATAGATCTAAAGTAACAATTATTAACCCTAGTGAGAAAGTTATGTTTAGTTCACAGTGTCGTACACTTGGTTGACCCATTTTTGGTTGTGGGGAGTACCAACTATGAGCTGGTGAAAGGCCACAAGCTCAAGGTGGTGTGATGAATCCTATTTGATAAGAAGCTCTTTGGGATGTTTGATGGGAATGGAGAATTTGATGGCAATTAGATAACCACCTACTTGCTATTAAATTTCCTCTTAAATGCACTGATTTTTACATTTCTATTTTCTCCCTATAGTTAAAGACAAATTGCCACAACTCGGTCATTTGCAGAGCTTCTCTTTAAGTAGTACTTAACCCAACAGTCCTATTTTGAAGAAAGATTTTCTGCAGTGATTTATGAAGGGGTTGACTTCATTTTTTTCCAGGCTAAAACTACAAAGAAGATTGTGCTGAGGCTTGAATGTGTTGAGCCCAATTGCAGATCTAAGAGAATGCTGGCTATTAAGAGATGCAAGCATTTTGAACTGGGAGGAGATAAGAAGAGAAAGGTATATAATTATGGGTGGAAGGTGCAATCTTTTCTATTGGGAGAGGTGAACATTTCTCCCCACTTAATGATGGTGGAATCAGGAATGGGGCAATCCTCTTAAAATAACTAGACCCATAGCTGAAGGTATGAGGTTTTTGGTGTTGGTTTTGGCATGAGTAGTAGAGGGATGACGAGGAGACTTGACTTAATTAAAAGGTGGTGATCCCTTTAGGGGGATAGACCGTGTACTTGAGAGAATAGAAGTTCTTTGCAAAATAAAAAAACTCACTTTTTTTTTTCTGTTCCATTACAGGGCCAAGTGATCCAGTTCTAAGCTTCATATTTTGTTAATATTATGAAGACAATAAAATCATGAGGTTATGTTCACTTCATTTGGTTGCAGTTGGTCTTTTAAGAGGGAAATAAACTAGTGCCATCAATATTCCCCTTGAGGGGCAGTTTATGTTTGAGGATTCTTCTGGGTACTTCACTAATTTTGGATTTATTTGATCTGGTTGAACTCATCAAACATGGTGATTTTCCAATTTGGCACTTCAGTTAACATGGGGGTTTCATGGGATTCCTTTCGCTGTTACGCAAGGGTTATTAGTTATCATGGGACAGAGAGTCCCATGAAAACTAACAGTTATATCCACAGTGAATGTAAAGTTTACCAAGAGTGAAATACTTACTCTCCTATACCCTTGCTACTTCAGTCATTTAATGAGGAATTTAGGCCCAGTTTTCTATGCAGAGCATTCTATATGTATTCTAAGTAGTTCAGACCTAACTCTCCTAACATTTCTCAAACCTTTTGATGTACCCCCTCAGACTTAAAAGGAGACATAAATTCTCAGGTTGAAATAACTGCAGAGGATATAATGTCTAGGGAATTAAGCTACCCAGCAGAATTTAACAGGGATATCTGTTGATTTTAAAAGATGTCTCATTGTTGCAAATTCTACATCCTTTTCCTCTTTGTATACTTGATTCTTACTGATGTTCAGCTTTTCATACTTGTACAGCAAAACGGGAGGTGAAGTATATAAGCGATACATTTTGGTAACAAAGTACATCTCTGAGATGGAGCAGTTTTCTTCCAGATTGCCTTGTTTCCGTGGGTGATTAAGTCTGGGTTTGCCAAGTTTTAGCAACTGATGATGATTACTCCAATTTTATTGAAAATAATTGATAATCACCTAAAGGGCAAAGGAATTGTTAAACATGCACTTTGTATTTTGAGGGCCTTTGTCCCTTGCTAATTTTGTGCTGTTGTGCATTCAGCCTGGGTGAGCTGCTGCCGTTGGTCATGTGGGAGAAGGGTGATTGTGAAAGGGGAGAGGTGATGAGCAGGCTTGAAGCTTTGACTACAGATTGGTCCTCAGGCAAATCAATGGTAGGAAAAGGGAATTCTAATGTCTGGAAATTCCTTTGAAATCCATTCCCTGGGGCGCCTGGGTGGCTCAGTCACTTAAGTGTCTGACTCTAGATTATGGCTCAGGTCATGATCTCAGGGTTGTGAGATGGAACCCCGCATCAGGCTCTGCGCTGGGTGTGGAGCCTGCTTGGCATTCTCTCCTGCACCACCTCAAAAAAAAATGATCCATTCCCACATACCCCAGTCTGAAGATCATTGCCTCATCACATCCTACAGAGGAGGTAACTTGAGAGGGTGTTCTGGCCAGAGATCATAATGTATCAACTCTTGCTGGTGAAAGTAAGCCATGTGCTTTTTTTGGATCTAGACTGCAAACCACCTTAGGATTTGGAAACCTGTGTGGTGGAGTGTGTCTTGATGAGATGGTTCCATAAAAATTCAGTAACGTGGTCTCTTGGGTTACTTCTGTAGGTTATTCCTGCTGGGCTATTTTTTGCCCTTCAAGTAGCTTTGTTTTTCTCCTCCCTTTGGGCTAAGATTGTATTTAAGCAGTGCCATCCAAGCACCTCAGTAGGTGGTAGTTGAAGGGTTAAAAGTCTGGGCTGAAATCTTGGCTGCAGTTTGTAGTGGATAAGTACCTGCCTCTGCTGTTGGTGAGGATTCAGATGGCTCAGTATACTTAACACATCTAGAACAGTGCCTGGCACATTCTTTCAGTTTGTTTCAAAAGCTTTTCCCCAAAATGTTGTCTAAAGATACCTTTAGAAGTTTTTACAAAACTCCACGGAGGAAAATTTTATTGACGGAAAGGAGGACAGCTAAAGTGGGAATGGAAGAAAAGGGAGACACCAGTGGGGGAATCACTTGGCAACAAAATACACATTTTTTTTCCTTTTTAAGTAGGGGCTTAAACTCAGGACCCTGAGATAAAGACCTGAGCTGAGATCAAGAGTCAGAGGCTTAACAGATGAGCCACAGGGGCCGCAACAAAGGCGGTTTTTTAAAAAGTGTAGGCTAGGTTGCTGCCAGCCGAAGTAAAACGGTGCCTGTGGGATTTATCTTAGTTTTTAAATCTGAAGTCCACTGATAAAACCCAAGCTTTCTCTTCTCAGGCAGGAGCTGTGTGATCATGCAGTCAGGAATACAGGCCAACCCCTGACCCAGGGAAGCAATAGAGATGGTATGAAAACGAGGTCCACCCATCTCCTGCAGGTTTACCATAGCCACAGCCCAGGCTAAGTCCGACAGTGGGCGTTCCCACACCTCAATGTTGTCTTCCTGAAAAGTAAGCCAAGAAAATAGGTGTGATAGCTTGGTAACTAGCCGGAAGCTGCCTTACTGGTACTGGCATTCAGTTATTATTGTCAGAACTACTGAGCGCTTCTAGGAAAAATTAAAATCCTACAGCGTGCTTTGGAAATAAGGTAATGGTTAGCAAAAAAGGAGCCTCATTACTGATTATAGTATGAAGATTAAAAGTAAATATTCTCGGCTCAGTTGGTTAAGCGACTGCCTTCCGCTCAGGTCATGATCCTGGAATCCTGGGATCGAGTCCTGGCATGGGCTCGCTGCTCAGCGGGGAGTCTGCTTCTCCCTCTGACCCTCCCCCCTCTCATGCGCTCTCTTTCTCATTCTCTCTCTCTCGCAAATAAAATCTTTAAGAAAAAAAAGTAGTCTCAAAAGACGAGTGCACATCCTTTTAATTTAACAGATTTAGGACCAGGACAACGGTGGTACTTGGGCATAAAGCCATTCCATCTTAAACACACAAACATTTGGATGGACTGTAAACTAGAAGGCAAAAGCGTATGTTCCTGGCCAATTCCTATTTTCTCCCATAGAACATTATTTACTGTACCTTTCTAAGCCGGTACCCCTGCTTGCCCAAGGGGTCTTGGTTGATGGCAATTACATCCTTATCCTGAAGGAGGGCTTTGGCTTGAGGGCTGATGTGTCGGAGGTCATTGGACATGAGTAACGGAGCGGCCATGATAGCCCACAAGGCCATCTGAGTTACCTGCTGGTCCCAGCTGAGGCCAAAGTTACCAATCACTAACTGGGACAAAGAAGAGCAAGAATTTAAATTAAAAAATGAAACATTTGGGGCGCCTGGGTGGCTCAGTTGTTAAGCATCTGCCTTCAGCTCAGGTCATGATCCCAGGGTCCTGGGATCGAGCCCCACATCGGGCTCCCTGCTCCGTGGGAAGCCTGCTTCTCCCTCTCCCACTCCCCCTGCTTGTGTTCCCTCTCTCGCTGTGTCTCTCTCTGTCAAATAGATAGATAAACAAACAAAAACAAACATTTTTAAAGTTGCCTAGCTACAGAAGCCACTTTCTGTGGCACCCTGCTCTGAGTACTCTCATGTAAGGCCTTATTCTTGGAATTTTCCCTTCTGATTTGCCTTGAAAAATCAAATAGGAAACAGGTCCACTGCAGGGGCTTGAATAAGGAGGGCTCAGGTTCTTACCATATCTGGGTCATTCCAACCCCCTGGTCCTGCGACATCAACAATTCTCTTCTGGTTAAAAGATGTCCAGGCCAAGATACTCTTTACACTTTGCCAAGAATCATAAACATCCTCAAAATTTCTCCAGTGATTGCAGTACTGTCGGATTTCTGTGTAATTCGGCTGTGAAAACAGACATAACTCTTCTGTTTACTTTCTACTGACATTCTTGCAAGATGAAAACAGTCAAGTTTAAAGGAGGTACCAGTAGCCTCTTATCCCTATTATAATGGAATTTCATTGTAAGAAGTCTGCTTCAGAAGTAGGCCTTATAAAAATCTGTCCTTAAAATGGCTTCAACACTGTTTATGTTGGAAATTTGCCAAATGGTAACTAAGTATCGGGATTATGGGAGATTTTAATTTTTTTCACAACTTACTGTATTTTCACACTTTCCTAAAACGGACATGTATCACTAAAATGATCTCTGTAAGTAAAAATAAAAGCTGCAAAATTACATAGGATACACAAGCATAGGATAAGGCAATCTGCATCCTAGGCACATGATTTGTTAATGGAACGAATACAAGTTTGTAGATAGGGAGGGAGAGTATCAGAGGTTTACAATGTTGAGAAAGAAGGGAGAGTATTTTGCAGAGATCAGAGGGGAAGAATGGATTCATTGTATAAGTAATTATTCAACACTTACCTAAGCTAGGGATACAGTGATAAAGTCAGACAAGGTCCCTGCCCTCCTGGAGCTTACATTCTAGTGGGGAGACAGACAATAAGCCAATCAACAAATAATTCCATACAGTGCTAAGCTCTTAAGGAAATTTAGCAGATCAATGTGATAAAGAATAAACGGATAGAGGGCTGTTTTAAAGTAGAGAAGAGCTGTTTGAATATGTGGCATTTGGTTTGGGACTTCAGTGTTAAGAAGGAGCCAACCATTTAAAAATCTCGAAGGAACAATGTACCAGGCAAAAACAAAATGCAAGTGTAAAGTCCCTGAGGCAGCAGCAGGCTTGCGTGTTTGAGGGACAGAAAGAAAACCCAGTGCAGTCATGGAAAGAGTGAGGGGAGGTTGCAGGCAGGCCAGGACCAGATCAGTGGAGTGTGATTTTACTCCAAATGCAATGGGAAGCCAGTTAAGCAGGGGAGTGATAGGATTTACATTTTAATGAGATCACTGCGGTGCTGCTTAGAAAATGGAGGGCAGGACTGTGGAAGCGGACCAGGCTGATGGTGCAGTCTGGGCAGAGATGATGGTGGCGGGCAAGACCAGGGTGGATGCAACCAAGATGGAAAGAAGTGGGCTGATTCAGGATGTGTTGTGTAGATAGTACTGATAGCATTGCTGGTGGATAGGCTGTGAACTGCGGGACAAAGGGAAGAATCAAAGATGATTGATTTCCCAGATTAGACTCCAATTACAGCAGTGGAGAGGGTGAGAAGTGGTTGGATCCTGAGAAAGAGGGTAGGATGAGCCTGTTAAGTAAGGCTGGACTTTGAAGGAGACCCTTTGTCTCCTTTGTTCTCAAGTTCTGAAAATCTATCAGCGAGGCTCTGTTGGATTCTGTGCTCACTAGCTCACCTTACGAAAAGGCCACACATAAAGGGGCCACTCACAGGAATACACAATGCTTCTGCCAGTCCTGTTCAGGGCCAAGGACATACGCTTATAACCTGTATGAGAAAACAATGGGTGAAATAAGGGAAAGAAGGGAATTTCCAGCTGGTGCTGTGTATTTTAAAAAGAGGCTGCCTGGAAAGGCTGTGGTTATATCTTAAACCAGCAGCAGAGACAGGTGGCTGCTCTGTAATTAAATTGTGTTTAGTACCTCCCAGACTGCTGGGATTGTTCTCAGGAGATAGTGTGGGATGGTGCATAGACTGAGGAAAGGCAGGAATGAAGATGCTCTTTTTTCTGGGACTGACATTCCAGATGCTTTCCCAAGTGCTGTTATGGAAAGTTACAATTACTATTTGTAATGAACTTGGAGCCCTCTTGAATGAAACGTGCACATTATTAGCCATGACTAGGCATGCGTGGATTTTACATGCATGGACAAACTGAAAAGAAAAGAAGAGATAGGAGCTCTGGCACATTGAGAATAATTATTTCCAGTATCGTGACTGAGCATTTAAAATGTGAAGATGAGCTCTTTGGAATGCTCCAGTTACCCTGGCCTCCGAGTTCCTCCCTTTGCTCATGGCTAAATCATACCTTTTTCCAAATGTTCCACGCTGTCACAGTAACAACCATCAAATTTTAGCAGATCTACTCCCCAGTCAGCAAAGGTCTTGGCATCAATGTCATAGTGTCCGAAACTCCCAGGGAAGCCTGCACAGGTTTTATTTCCAACATCTGCATAAATTCCTAGTTTCAGTCCTTTGCTATGGACCTGAAATGAGAGAAAAGGATCACCACAGTAGAAGGGCAATCATGAAGTAGAGAGAACCACTGTAGGCTGGGGGCACAGATAAGTATATTTCACTCGGTATCAGGGGCTTCTTTTTTCACAAACCCCCGAAATTATCCAGGTGAGTTAGCTGGGAGACAAAGTCTCCAGTGCTGCTGAGTTCAAACTATATAAGTAAGCTATGATACAGAACTAAAGGGAAAGCTATCACTCTCATCTTTTTCTGATGGGATCCTAAAAGTTGCCTTTCCATGGCGATGATACAATTATTTGGACAAAGACTCTCACCATGACCGTACCTTAGGCTCCTCTGTGCCCTTTTCTCAAGTAGGCCTCATGTTGTTTCAGCAAGAATCCTGCTAAGTCATCTCCCTACCCTTGGTATCTGATCAAGTTCCTTATCCCCTGCCCTTCGTGTCTAACTCCTTGGCCTGCCTGCCTTTAGCAAGAATCCTCTTGACCTTCATGTCTCCTCTTGGTAAATTTTCCATCCACTGACCCCCTCAAGTCTGCTCATTGAATATAAAACCCCACTTGTCTTTGTTGTATTTGAAATTGATCTTGGCTCCTTCCCCTATTGCAGTAGTACTGAATACATCTGTCTTCATTGCCTTTAACTAGTGTCCAGCTCTATTACTCCTTAATTTCCAGCATATATTCCTTCTATCTTCTACTTTATACTACAATTGTAATAGCTCCTCAAAGCATATGGAAATACATGCACACATGTCAAGAACCAAGTTCCCTTTTCCTCCTAGAGAATTCAGTGGTTTCAGCAAAAGGAGAACTTCTCCAAGATGGGCCTCAAGAGCTACTGCAAAACAAGGATCTGCTGATGGAATGAAAATTCCACGTGATAAGCCTTACAATTTGATATTCAGATAATAGCAGCTATTTTATTTTCTCAGTTTTTCTGAATAAGCTTCAGTACAAAAGTACTTACAGTCTCCTGAATGAAAGAGAATCATCTATAAACTCACATAATCAGCAAGGTGTCGGATCCCACGAGGAAAGCGTTTAGGGTCTGCCTGAAGTCTGCCTTCTGAATCTCTTTTGGGAGCCATCCAACAGTCATCAATGCAGAGGTACTCATAACCTACATCCTTCCAGCCATCTGACTCCATGAGTTCTGCCATCTGCATGAAGAGCTTCTCACTGAAAGAGAAATTCCAAAAATTGTTGCAAATCGTTAAACAAATGATAAGGCATCTTGGGGTTTTGCAAGTTCTTTCAACCCAGTTACTACCCAATTCAGTAGTAACCAGTGCAAGGTAAAATGGACTGGGCCCTTTTTTTTTATTTTCCCCTGCCTGAATACTTCCACCCTAAGAACCTCAATTAGGAATGAGAAATACATGAAATTGAAAAGGTAATTAGAACTAAGAAGAAAGTTCAGTAAAGTAAGAAACTACAAAGTTACTATAATCAACAGCTTCCTTAGATACCAACAATAACCTGTTTGGAAAAAAAAAGATAGATAACCATTCACAAGAGCAACCAAAAAAAACAACAGAAAAACCTAAAATACCTAGAGATAAATTTAAGACGTGCAGAATCCATATGAATAAAACTATGATGTTCCCAAATGATTTCAGTAAATGGAGAGGCGTAATTATGCTCTGGGATAAGAAAACTCAATTTTAAAACATACCTTTATACATTTTTAAAGTAGGCTCCATGCCCAGTGTGGAGCCCAACATGGGGCTTGAACTCACGACCCTGAGATCAAGACCTGAGCTGAGATCAAGAGTAGGATGCTTAATCCTACTGAGCCACCCAGGCATCTCTTATACATTTAATAAAACCCTGAACAAACCCCAAAAGGACTTTCTAAGGAACTTGGCAACATGATTCAAAAGTTCACCTGAGAGAACACATGAACATTTACAAAAGATAAATGAAGCTGGTATAGTACCAGTAGCATTAGAATATACAAATCAATGGAATTAGAAAGTTCTGAAAGAGATCCTTCCAGCCATCTAGTACCATGGAATCTAGTATATACATATTTTTAAAAGATTTTATTTATTTTTTGAGAGAGAGAGCATGTGTGTGCACACGAGTGGGGGGGCGGGGGGCAGACGGAGAGAGAGAAGCAGGCTCTCCACTAAGCAGGGAGCCCGATGTGGGCTCGATCCCAGGACCCCAGGACCCCAGGATCATGACCTGAGCCGAAGGCAGACGCTTAACCAACTGAGCCACCCAGGTATCCCAGGAATTTAGTATATATTAAATGTGGCATTCCTTATAGGAAAATAAAGTCCAGGTGGATTCAAGATGTAAATATTTTTTAAATATTTTATTTATTTATTCGAGAGATAGAATGAGAAAGAGAGAGAGCATGAGAGGGGGTAGGGTCAGAGGGAGAGCAGAGCAGGGAGCCCAACGTGAGACTCGATCCATGGACTGCAGGATCGTGACCTGAGCCGAAGGCAGTCGCTTAACCAACTGAGCCACCCAGGCAACCAAAGATTTAAATATTTTAAAAATCCATAAAAATGCTACTAGAGAATGTAGGTGACTATATTATCTTCAGGTAGGTAAAGACTTTCTCAACATGATGCCAGAGCCAGAAATCATAAAAACCAACATAAGCTGGAACCACCATATTCATAATATATGACAGACCAAACACACATACACACACAACCCCAAAACCAAACCCAGAACATTTCAACTAAAAAATTAAGTGGAAATAAAAACACCAGATTGGTAAAATTTCAAAAGAATGACAAAAATGCAGTGTTGGCCAGTGTGTGGGGAAATAGACATTCTCATACACTGTTCTTGGGGATGTGCATTTGTAAAACTTTTGGGGAGGATAGTTTGATATGTAACAAAATAGTTTGATATGTAACATACCTTTAGATCCAATAATTACACTTCTAAGGAAAGAATCTTTTGATGTACAAGGATGGTTAACACAGCCTCACAGTAATAAAAAGAATTGAAGAGCTTGAATAGCTATCAACAGGAGATTGCTTAAATAAATGATATACATATAATTTGCATTTGTGAAGCACTTATTCTGTGCCAGGAAAACTGTGTTTTCATTATACTCTTCTTCACCATCTACGTTTTTTGCAATGATCATGCATTAGTTTTATTATCAGATATAAAAAGAAGCCAACAACTACTTAGGGGGAAAAAAAGGAAAAGACAAAAAGAAATATGTGATGGGAACTACATTCAGCATCCCAGCATTAAGCCTCCATAGCTTTGAATTGTGTCTGTGAGCATCTGTGATTTATCTCCATTTATTTTGTGCATCAAAGCCAAGAGAGGTTATTTTTTGGGTCCGGGAATGCTCAAAAATTTTTCCATATAAATTAATTGTAATTGCTTCTTCACTTTAAGCCATTTCCGTTTATGGAACACTCAACTTTTGGACAGAAGGGGAAACCTTTATAAAGTTCCTCCAGGTCAACCAGATTCTAGCCAGATGCCACACTCAAGGGCGAGGGGGTGGGGATATCTCAGAGACTCCCTGGTTCCTCTAAACTCCCTCCAGTTACAGCCAAGGAACCCCTGACCCCAAAAGCAGAAGAAAGAGCACGTGCCTTAGTCCTCTGTCTCTCCTACTCACCCCGTCTGTGGTCACTACCAGTGCCTGGCAGACAGAGGCAGAACAAGCAGTTCCCAAGAAGGGTCTGAACAGAAGTGGATGGTGAATGGATCAAGTCCCTAGTTGGCTGATCCGGCACAGAGAGATGGAGAAGTAAGGGGTTGCTGACCCGACTCCTACCGCAGGAGGGGTCACGCCAGACAAAGTTTAGGGCTAGTTCCCCACCAGGGTAGTTTGCTGGAGATAAAACAGCAGCAGCAGTAGGGGAGCCCTCCCTCAGGCTCAAATGTTCCCTCTGCGACCCTCTACCTCCCCCCAAACAGAGACAGACAAACACATGGGAAGGCGAACGCAAGGGGGTACTCATTATCTCTCATACCTGATACAGGAATCCGGCTCTTCCTGGCAGTCAACATTGCACATGAAGCGCTCCCAGTGCAGCCAGCCCATCGTAGGGGTCATCGCCAAGCCATTGTCCAGGGCCCTGGCTCCAGGGAAGCTCCAGAGAACCAGGGCCAGGAAGCGAAGTGCCAGCAGGAAGCCCGGCAGCCGCACTCGGCCTTCCAGCTTCATTGCCACCTTAATGCAGTACAAATTTCCACCGGTGAAGTGGGCTTTTAAGTTTAACTTTAGAGGCGGACCAATCACCGGTGAGCTATTAAATAATGACGTTATTGTTTCTGAGGCAACTGGGACGGTTATCCCCAGAGGCGGACCAATGATCAGTCACGTCAAACGCACCGCAACCAATCACACTCTTCCTTTCTTGATATTGGCCCGCCCTGTTTCCATACCAGAAGGAAGTGCGGCGCTTTAGAGATCCCGAGTCTAAGCCGAGAGCTGCTCACGTGACCGAAATCTCACATGACGTAGGTGATCACGTGATCAGCCGCTTACGTGAGCAGAAGTAGTTCTGGTCGTCGTCTACCGTCTCGCTATAGCCGTTTGAGGGAAGAAGGAGGAAAATTATCCGGTATCGTTAGAGGTTGGTGTGTGGGTGGGAACTGGGGACCCGAGGGTGGTGATGATGAAGACCAAAGCAGGCTCCGCGGGCCGCCTCCGCCTTTTTCGTTCCCCGCTTTCCCCTCCCCCGCTCCCCCTCCCCCCCATCTCAGTGCCGGGAAGCCGCCTTTGCTGCGCCTGGTGGGGAAATGGTGGACGTTCGTGACTGTGTATGTGTTTTTGTATATCTGTCTGTCTGGGCGGGTCTCAGGGGACCCTTAAGAGAAACTCTAAGGTGAAAACGCTTGAAAACCACGTCCCTGGGTTAAGAAAAACAAATATTGAGACCAGTGGCCGGAGTGCTGTTCCATCCATTCAGGCACTTAGTCCCCACTGATTGTCTGTCTGTAGGGGGAGGCACCAAGTGAATTATATCTGTAGAGTCACTTCTAGGCAAATGCGTGCCTGACAGAGGCGCTCAATAAATGTTTTTACTGAATTGGATATTTAAATAACGTTTATTTTTCTACTTATAATAGTCTACATGTTCAGTTTTGAACATTCAAAAAATAACAGTATACTATAAATTTAAAAAAATACACGTAATTCATCACCGGGAGGTAGCTGCTCAGCATTTTGGTGTATAAAAAGTATGTGTATAACACACATATAAATACACAATTTCTTAACCCACAAATGGAATCCTGGTTCCTACTTAAGCAACTTAGTCTTGGTGGCCTTCCCAGGAGATAGAGTAATGAAGCAGAATCTCCCTGCCACTACGGAGGGGATATTAATTTCTAAAGTGCTGCAGTGACATGAAATGGGATTGGTCATCCAAGAGATAAGGCATGCAAAAAACCAGTCGGTAAATCTGTCACTCAAACCTGAAGATGGTTTATGGGGAGACTGTTATTTGCAGATGCAGTGTGCCAGGCATATAATAGGCAATTAATAAATGTTGAATCCTCAGTGTAGTTTTATGGCAGTTATTACACTTTGTACTTTCTTTCCAAGAGGCCTAGTGTTTCCAGACCATGTCAGATAAGCCATGCACATTACAGAATTAGAAAACTTTATAAAAGCAAACGTTTAAGTTTATTTTTTGCTGAAATAAAATTAATCGCACAGAAAACTAAGAATGCACAAGAAATTGAAAAAATAACATTGAAAAAGCCAGAAACCTGCCACTTAGAGCAATCACTATTAACATTTGCTGCATTCCCCACGTATATATATTTTTCTAACATTTTGTTCCAATGACTGATTTTTATTTTTTTAATTTTTAAATTCTTTTTTTTAATATTTTATTTATTTATTCATGAGAGACAGAGGGAGAGAGAGAGGGAGAGAGAGAGAGAGAAGCAGAGGGAGAAGCAGGCTCCCAAGGAGAGGGAGCCCGATGCAGGACTCGATCCCAGGACCCTAGGATCATGACCTGAGCCGAAGGCAGACGCTTAACCATCTGAGCCACCCAGGCGCCCTCCAATGACTGATTTTTAAAAATTAAAACTAGAAAGAAGTATATTGGGTAAAGAGTGAAAATCTGTTTCACCTTACCTTCCAGTTCCTGTTTTCTCAGAACACAAATTTGTATTATGTGCTTTCAGATCGTCGTCTATGCCTTTTCATACATACATACCTGCATGCTTATATTTTAAAATAAGTAGGATCATACTATGCATATTTTATTTAATACATTTTGGAAATCTTCCTAGGTCAGGGCAGATCTTTTTTCTTAACAGCTGCATAGGATTCCATTTTAAGGATAAAGTATATTGTAATTCATTCAGCCATTCCCCTATTGATGAATAGTTAGGTTTCTAATTTTTAGCCATTACTAACAGTGCAATAACAGTGAACATTTGTGAGTATTTCTGTTGACCAGGTTCCTGGAAGGAATTATAGTAGGGTCAAAGGATATGTGAACATGTTTTTTTTTTTTTTTTTTTACACAGTTGAGATTATAAAGCAGCCGTGATCTTGGTTCATAAGATTATAGCATATGTAGTTCCTCATGTTATTAAATACTTGTATAATTTTAAAATTAAGCGTGCGGTATTCTTTCTTAAAAAATACCTTTTGAAGAATATATAGCTCCATAAATCTTTGAATTTCAGGTCATCTCTTTAGGGCACATAATCTGAAATGGATTTACTGTATCAAAAACTGTGATACATGTTTCCAAATTGCTTTCCAGAAATATATTGTGTCTACTTTCACTCCTCTAGGAGTGTTCAAGAACCCTGAATATTAGCATTGGCTTATCCTCCCTGTTTAATTTTCACTGTCTTGGTGGGTGAAAATTGATTAATTCTGGCTTTAACTTGGATTTCTGATGATTGATGAGGTTTTAACATTTCCCAGACAACTCTTCTGTATCCTCCCTCACATATGTTTTCCCCTGTATTTAATCTGTTACCAAGTGCTGCAGAATCCACTGCTTTGAATGCGTAGATCACATCTTTCCTTTCTTTTTTCTTTTATATATATATATATTTTTAAATTTTATTTATTTATTTGAGAGAGAGAGAATGAGAGATAGAGAGCACGAGAGGGAAGCGGGTCAGAGGGAGAAGCAGACTCCCTGCTGAGCAGGGAGCCCGATGTGGGACTTGATCCCGGGACTCCAGGATCATGACCTGAGCCGAAGGCAGTCGCTTAACCAACTGAGCCACCCAGGTGCCCTTCTTTTATATTTTTTTTAAGATTTTGTTTATTTGAGAGAGAGCGCGCGCGCACAAGCGGGGGGAGGGACAGAGGGAGAGGGAGAAGCAGACTCCCTACCAAGCAGAGAGCGGGTTCCATCCCAGGACCCTGAGATCATGACCTAAGCTGAAGGCAGCCACTTAACCCACTGAGCCACCCAGGCGCTCTCCTTTCTTTTTTTAAAAACTACTGTTGCCTTGGGGCGCCTGGGTGGCTCAGTTGGTTAAGCCTCTGCCTTTGGGTCATGGTTCCAGGGTCCTCGCTCAGCGGGAAGCCTGCTTCTCCTCCCTCTACCTGCCGCTCCCCTTGCTTATGCTCACGCACGTGCTCTGTCTCTCTGTCAAATAAGATCTTTAAAAAAACAAACAAAAAAACTGCTGTTGCCTTAGGTGAATCCCTTATGCCTGCCTCAAAGTGACTGGGTTTCTAGCTGATCTTGCTGGTGTCATACCAACCCCCTCTGTTTGAGTCCCACACTGTTGCCAGGGTGATCTATTATTTGAAAGGGCTCTGATTACATCACTTCCCTCCCCTCACTCCCCTGCCCACTTCCCTCTCCTCACTCCTTCACCCACTCCCCTACCCTCACTCCCCTACCCTCACTCCCATGCTTAAAACCCTTAGAAGGGCCTTAGTGTTTGTCTATCAAGTAAGGTCTTTGGGATCTTATGTCTACCTTGCCAGCCTTATCTCTCACCAAGCCTCATCCTATTTTATGCTCCATCCGTAATTTTTTTAAAATTTACTTGTGGATCCTTGAACTGGTGAGTCTGTTTTATTTAACAATTCTGTGCCAACTGTTAGAATTGACCAACTAGTCCCTGTTTTATACCACCTTTTCACCCTGGCCAGAATTTTGTCATAGCAGGGATACTGTTTATTTGCCCTTTTGTCTTTAGTAAAGATGTATAATGCCCCTGTAGGACCATAAACACTTTCTGGGCTTACTGATCCTTGTATCCCAAAGCCAAGTCCTGGACTTGGCAGCTGAAAAATATAAAAGGAATGTGTGAATTTTTTCCATTTATGTCTTAGGCCTTAATATTTCCCTGATTTTATTAATTGGCATGAGTTCTTTATATAATAAGGTTATTAATGTATTGGTATAAGTATCTTATCAAGTGTATTGTTTGTCTTTTAATTCTATTTAATCTTACCTTTGATGTAATGAAGTTTTTCATTTTTATGTAATCGGGGATAGCCATCTTATATTTGTTCACATCTTCCAGTGATTTTGTTGCTGTTAATTTTTTATGCCTTTTATGTTCTGTGATGTCAATACATGTTCAGTGTAGAAAACTTAGAACATACAGAAATGTCCGAAGAAAATACTCCTTTAATCAAGAAGTTCCCATAATCCTACTGCCCAGAAATAACCACTGTTAATGGTGTCCAACATGTAATAGGTATTGAGTAAAATATTCGTTGGGTGAACGAATTAAAAATTTGGTGTAGTCTTTTAATTTATATGAATGTTTTAGAAAAAAGCTATCCATGTGAGTTTTATATTAGTTTGCTTTTTTTTCTCTTACTGTATTGTGAACTTTTTTCCATGACAGTAGTCTTCTAATTTTTTTCAGCTACACCGAGATTGCATCGAGCCAAGCTTGCCACCAAGAGCCCAACAGTCACCATGATGCTGAGCACAGAAGGCAGGGAGGGGTTCGTGGTGAAGGTCAGGGGCCTACCCTGGTCCTGCTCAGCTGATGAAGTGATGCGCTTCTTTTCCGATTGTAAAATCCAAACTGGCACATCAGGTATCCGTTTCATCTACACCAGAGAAGGCAGACCAAGTGGTGAAGCATTTGTCGAACTTGAATCCGAAGATGAAGTGAAATTGGCTTTGAAGAAGGA